ATTCATTTAGGCTTCACAATTCGGCAACAAGTCTTCAACTATCCCAAATTTTCTAATAGGCTCATCCATCAGCCTATTCAATTTAATTCTTATCATTTAATACTCATTTGGAGTCATTAATAATACTATGTTAATTATCTAACATCATCAAGTCACTATTCATTGCCTTCTCCAACAAAACTCTAGGTTCAAGAACTAGTGTTGTATCTTATACAAATGGTGATTCCCAATTAAATTCGTTCATCAATTAAGTTATCAAGTCTATTGGAATCATTAGAAATTGAAGATATATGTATTTATATCAATTCATCACTATTCATCTTCTTCTTTACCGAAAAATGGCATTCTCAAGACCCACCCTTAAGGTTCATACAATATCTCATTATAACTTCAAATAAAACTCATAAACATGATACCCATACTCCAATATGACATATATATGAAGTTCAAGTGAAGGGATTACCTCTTGGTGGAAGAATCTCACTTTTCCTCTTTTTGGTATTCTTGAAGATTCAACCCATTTTCTATGGATTTGATCCATAATAATGTTAGTGTTATCACTAAATGATGTTATATAATCATCCTTGTGCCAAAATAACTTACCTTGAAGTATATCCATGGTGGAAGAGCTCCTCCTTCTCTCTAGAAATCGATTCCAAGATGAAGAACTAACACATTCTCTCTCTAAACCCACGTTTTCAGCTCCTTAAAATGACCCTTGAAGTTGCGTAGCCTCCTGTGTAGGCTACGCCGCTATGCACAAAGGCTACGTATGGTGGACTTCCATTCCCTTCAATTAGAAGCTGCTGGATTTGTCTACGCAATGATGCGTAGGCTACGCAAGACCCGCATAGCTATTCTGACACCCTTTAGTTAAAAGGTCATAATTTCTTGTAGAAATATCCAAATAACGAACGGTTTGAAACATTAGAAACTAGACACATAGACCTTTCAACTTTACCCCATCGTACAATTTCCAACTTGACTTAGTCTTGGGACTCTTCTTAGACCATAAACTATTCTTAATGCACCTCATACATATATTATTATGATCAATTGATATCATTCATATTATTAGTCTTGTTCATACCCGAATTAATATAATTAGTACCTGCCAATATTCTTAATGGTCTTAAAACACTTAGAAATTGTCTGAGGTGTTACAGTTTTAGTTTTAAGCACGTAGTCCCCGACTTTGAGTGGCCTAACCTTTGCCCTTTTTTTATAGTAGTGTTCTACTTGTTGCTTTTGGGCGACCATTCTCACGTAGGCCATATATCTTCGTTCCCCGACATCGTCCAGTTCCTACCTTCTATTGTCATCGTTCTGGGGTCCGCTTTTATGGAAGTATCTTAGGCTGGGCTCTCCAACCTCGACTAGTATTACTGTATCAGTCCCATATACTAACAAGTATGGCGTTTCCCCTATGCTCATTTTTTTTATATTGTTCGGTAAGCCCCGAGTACTTCTGGTAATATTTGGTGTCACAGTCCCTTAGCGGCTTCGAGTTTCTTCTTCATGATGTTGAGTATTGACTTGTTGGAGGATTTCGCTTGCCCGTTGCCCGCGAGGTGGTAAGGCATTGAGAGTATTCTTTTGACGTGCCATTTTTCAAAAAAGTCGGCGACCTTCTTTCCTACAAATTGGGGTCCGTTGTCGCAGCTGATTTCTTTGGGGAGACCGAAATGGCATATGATGTTTTTCCATATGAAGGCGATCACTTCATGTTCGCATATTTGGGAGAATTCTCGTACTTCCACCCATTTAGAGAAATAGTCAGCTAAAACGAAGAAAAATTGTATGTTACCTCGTCCTGCCTGGAGGGGGCCCACGATGTCCATTCCCCATTTGATGAACGACTAAGGGGAAGTTACTGAGTGTAGGCTTTCGCCTGCCTTGTGGATCATTGAGGCATACTTCTGGCATTGCTCGTATTGTTTCACAAAATCTGCGGCCTCCTTTTTCATGGTGGGCCAGTAATACCCTGCTCGTATGAGGCATCTGACCAAAGCTCGATTGTCGAAGTGTGCTCCACAGTGGCCTTCATGCACTTCTTCAAGGACGCGACGCGTTTGATTTGGGCCTAAGCATTTCATTAGAGGGCCGCCATATGTCTTTTTGTACAGGTTGTTGTGAACGATGATGTATCTGGCCGCTTGCATTCGCAGCTTCTTGGCCTATGTTTTATCGTTGAGGAGTACGCCATCCTGCAAATATACTATAATACGATTGTGCCAGTCCAAAGTCAGGTTTATGGTTCTTACCTCGATTTGGTCTATCGACGAGCTGAGGAGGTGGACCACATTCCAGTCTCCTATTGTAATGTTTTTGGTGGCTGCTGCTAATTTGGCGAGGCCGTCCGCCTCGATGTTCTGGGTTCGAGGGATCTAGTCGAGCTGACATTCGTCGAACTCGGGTATTAGTTTGCATATTTCGGTCTAGTATTCTTGTAACCTTTGCTCCTTGATTTGGAAAGTTCCTATGACTTGGTTGACCACGAGCTGAGAATCGCAGCGCAACCTTAGCCGCTTAGCCTAGTATTTAAGTGTTAGTCTCAGTCCTGCAATTACGGCCTTATACTCGGCCTCGTTGTTAGTCATGTACATGCACCTTATGGACTGGCGAATCACTTCACCTGTTGGTACTTCGAGTACGAGTCCCAGCACAGACCCTGACGCGTTAGACGCATCCTCGGTGTACAGGACCCAGAGGTCTAGTGTTTGGGAAGAAGTGTGGACGGCTTCCTTTTTAACTTCGGGCATTATTTGTGCATAGAAGTCCCCGACGAAGTCGGTGAGAACCTGTGACTTTATCGTCGTTCGCGGCCACGATGATATAGATGAGATACGGCGACATAGAGGAGGAGAGGCTACCATGGTTCTGGTTTTGAGAGTAACGACAGCGAGGACATGTACACCTTTAACTCCTTCAAGGCTTGGATGCACTCAGGGGTCCACTGGAGGACGTTCTCCTTTTTGAGTACGCCAAAGAACTTGTGGCACCTATCGGAGGATTGTAAGATGAACTTAGAAAGGGCGGCGATACGGCCAGTCAACCTCTAGACCTATTTTTTGGTGGTGGCCAAGTGCTCTGGTATCCCTTTGATGGCCTTGATTTGGTCGGGATTGACCTCGATACCTAGCTGCGACACTAGAAAACCCAAGAATTTTACTGAGGCCATGCCAAATGCACATTTTTCGGGGTTCAGTTTTATGATGTATTGTCTGAGTATGCCGAAGGCTTCTCTCAAGTGATCGATGTGATCCTCTTTCCTTTTGGATTTAACCAGCATGTCGTCGATGTAGACTTTCATCGTTTTTCCAAGTTGTTCTTTTAATATTTTCGTCACCAGCCTTTGGTAAGTTGCCCCTGCATTTTTCAATCTGAAGGGCATGACTCTGTAGAAATACGTCCCCTGGTGGGTGATGAATGTGGTCTTTTCCTGGTCCTCTTCCTCCATGAGGATCTGATTATAGCCCGAGTGGGCATCCAAGAAACTTAGTAGCTCGTGCCCAGCTGTTGCGTAGATGAGTTGGTCGATATGAGGTAATGGAAATGAATCCTTGGGGAAAGCTTTGTTTAAGTCAGTGAAATCTATGCACATCCGCCACTTGTTGTTCTTCTTTTTCACCATGACTATGTTGGTGACCCATTGGGGATACTTCGACTCCCTGACAGAGCCGTTTTCCAATAATTTTTCCATTTCTTCACGTACTGCGTCATTAATTACGGAGTTGAACTTACGCCTAACTTGCCTCATCGGAGGGTAGAGGGGATCGACGTTCAATTTGTGTGTGACAATTTTCTTTGGGATACCTGGCATATCTGCATGGCTAAAAGTGAACAAGTTTGCGTAATCAGTTAAAAATTTACGAAACTTCCATGGTTCTTGAAGTTTGCAGCCGATGTAAGCTTTCTTGATGTGGTTGTTGTTGTCCAATTGAACTGGGTTGAGGTCTTCTATGGTCGATCATGCGGCCCTGACCGTATCGGTGTCCCTGATGACGTCATCGCATACCGACCTCGACCATGTTGATTTCTACACCTACTTTTCTTTATCCTTTATTTGTTGGGTTGTTGGGTGGTCGTGCAGTCTAGGGCGATGCGGTAATATTCCTGGGATGTGTGTTGCTCCCCTCGTATACTGAATATGCCTCATGGAGTTGGGAATTTAATGACTTGGTATAAGCTGGAGGGTATAGCTCTCATGGTGTGTATCCATGGTCGCCCTATTATGGCGTTGTATGTTGTGTCCTTGTCCATGATCTGGAAGGTGGTCTCCAAAGTGACGCCACCCGCCAGGACGGGGAGTATGATCTCGCTAGATGTTCCCTCAACTACATTGTTAAAACCTGTTAGTGTGATGCAGCGTGGCACTATCTTGTCCTCGTATTTCATTTGAGCGAGTACTCGGTGATGATAATACATGCGCCGCTCCTATCGTCTATCATAATCCGTCGTACATCAGTATATAAAATTCGTAAAGTGATAACGAGAGCATCATAGTGAAGGAAAACCAAACTGTTGGTATCTGACTTATCGAAGATGATACTTTCTTCGAGTTCATCATACCGTTCATGGGTGATCGACCGTTTGATCTTGTGGGTTGTTGTGAACTTCACGTTGTTGATGGAATCATCGTCCTCGCCACCGATGATCATGTGGATGGTGCAGGCTAGCGAGGGCGGCTTTGGTGGCCTTTGACGTTGTTCGCATCCCCTGGCAAAGCTGGTCCTTCCCCGATCGCTCAGCAATTCTTTGAGGTATCCCTGTCGCAGCATATTTACGACCTCCTATCTTAGGGCGATGCAATCTTCGATTTTGTGTCCTCGCTCTTGATGGAACTCATAGAGGGCGTCTGATTTTCTGGTATTCGGGTCCGAACTCATCTTTTGTGGCCACTTTACCTTTGGTCCGAGCTTCTCCAAGGCGTAGACGATCTCTGTAGGTGACACGAAAAAATTGTGAGCGGATAGTAAATGGAGCATACCTCTCTCATTCTAGTGAGTCCCTGTTCTTGATCGGGGTGGGCCTTCTTCATGGCGAGATGAGGATACAACGGTAGTTCTGACATATGGGAGATGTCGTTCCTGGTTTGGTCGTGAGGCCACAAGATCTCTTCTTATATCATTTCTCTGATCCTTTCTGGATTCTGCTTGTACTGAGGTCAGTCGATGGGTCGGCCCATTGAGGTCGTCTTCGTTTGCTCGGACTTCGGCATAGTATTTCGTCCCAAGTTGTTGGGGATATTTCATAAGCCGACTTAATAATTTTTTTGTCGCCCTTGAACTATTTTTGCTTAGCCCGTTTTGAAAAGCAGCTATCACCATCCCTTCTGATACATTGGGGAAAGTCATTCTTACTCGGTTAAAACGGATGAGGAAGTCACTTAGTCCTTCTCCCGGGAACTGTTTGATAGCAAAAATGTCATTCACTCTTGCCTCGGCCTTCTTGGCCCCGGCATGGGCCGTCACGAACTTATCGGCCATTTCCTCGAAGGTTTTGATAGAACGTGCCGGCAGTTGCGAGTACCAGGTCAATGCACCTCCCGTGAGGGTTTTGCTGAATTTCTTTAGCAGAATGGAGGATACGTGTTCCTTGGAGAGGTCATTGCCTTTCACGGCGGTGACGTAATGGGTCACATGATCCTCGGGGTTGGTTGTTCCATCGTATATATTCAGATAAGGTGGCATTTTAAAGGTCTTGGGTATAGCATGTGGTGCAGCGCTATCACTCTATGGATGTTCGATGAACCGACTGGCATCTCGCTTCGGCAATAACTTAGGAGAGCCCGGTATTTTATCGACCCTTTCTTGATGTTCTCTCATTTGGTCCCGAAGTGCCTTGTTCTCGTTTTCCATTTCCTCCATCCTTTTCAGAATGGTTGTGAGAGCGTCGTCGCCTGCATGGTTAACAACATTGTGAGTAATACCTGTCTCCGGGGGTAGAGGAGAGGGTTGATCATGGTGCTCGTTCACTGGTGGTACAACACAGGTTCTCGTATTTACTGGGCCGCGTCCTGGACAGGCTTATGGAGGACGCTGGTCAGTGTATCAGCTAGCCTTGCTTCAAGGAGCTTCTTTATCGCTGGTGGTGTCTCCTCTCCCACGGATGTGGATGCTGTCTTGCCAGGAGATTTTGTGATGGTGCAGTGGGGAGGGGGTGATCCACCTCGCCTAGGAGAGGCATTGGGTGTTGTGTCCTCGTCCACTGCTTCTGAGCTTTCGTGGATTATGTTCATGAGGATGGTTGTGAGGTCACTCATTATTCCTTCTCTGTTACCTACCATATTAGATTTATGCGTGCAGGGAGAAAAAAGTTCTTTTTTTTTTTGTTAATAACCGGTGTCGATTGTAGATCTAGAAGAAACTAAAAGACTTAACTAGAAGATCCCCACAGACGACGCCAAATTATTTGACCAAAAAGTGTGGCTTCCGCTTAAACTATTAAATTTATGTTATAATGGGTTAAATCTAGTTGAGATGGGGACAAATCCCGTAAATGATTGATAACAATAAGTGTAAAATACTTTTAAAGTATGAACATTAATGTAAATATATCTAACAATAAATGACAATAAATGATATTTAAGTAAATAAGGAGAATGATTCACCTAATAATGAATGGATTGGACGAATATTTCTCTTGACAATGATGAGTGACAGAAAGGTCCAAGGTTCGTATGAACAATCCTCAGATCTGGTGAAAAAGGTTGGGAATAATATGTGCAAGAATCTGATAAAGATAATCTTTATATTTTTATCAGAGAGAGATAATCTTCTTCTCAAAAGTGTTCTTATCAAATGAATATTACATGCATTTCTTTCTTTTTCTTTTCCCTTATATATTCAACGCATATCCTTAGTAAACCCTAATAATACAAATATAGGAAATATTCATAAGAATATACTCTCTAATATCTTATTCTGAAAACTAGCCGTTATCGTCCTTTACGCAGTGCTTGACCTCGACCATGGTTGACACCTCAGCCACGAGTTTTGGTGCCTTCTGGTTTACCTCGACCGACTCTTTCCTTAATGTCGTATTAGACCAAATCTCCCTTAGGGCAGATTTTGGCCCATACAATTTCACTGTCTCCTTTACTTATATATGCTCTTTTTTCTATAAAAAAAACTAAACAAAAAACTGGAGATAAACATTTTTTTTATAAACATCAAGTGACAACTTGAAAAAATGGTATTAATAGCATATTATACTACGATAATAATGTGAGAATGCATTACCTGTTATTAAATTTAAATCCTTTGTTTATTTGATAAGATAGCTTATCTTAAAAAATTATAATTTATCCTAGAGAAAGAAATTAATTGCTGACCACGACCAAAATAAACTTTTTTTAAAAATAAAATCAACCTTTTATTTTAGGTAAAAATTTCTCAATTACGAGGGACACTAGAAAAAAATGAGAAAAAATCATTTCCCATAAATATTGTTTAAATGGTGCTGAGAAACAATTTAAGATCATAAGATGAATAAACCCAATATTTTCTTCGTCCTAATTTAAGATCGAAATAATCAGACTTGAGAGTCTTATTTCGGGAATTATTTTTGGGACGAGTGTTATTCTGTCACTTATGTGTGCCTCTTTAATCTTTGTACAGTTGTTATCTCGATATTTTATAAATTCTTTTATATAGTGAATTGTTAACTCATATAACAATTCATAATTTATATAATAATATTTTTTCTTATTATAATTCAATCAACATTTTCAACTCATTAAATAATCAATATATAGGAGCTACACATAAATTAGGGTTGGATGATTCTCTAGTCTTAGCGGGCTATTGGACATAAGAATTGTAAAATTCTAAAAATAAAGTGAATTTGTTTTTTAAGTGAAGATAATATTTGAAAATTAGAGTTGTGTTTGGACATGAATATAATTTTGGGTTGTTTTTGAATTTTTATGAATGATCCGAGTGAAACTTTTGATTTTTTTTTTTTTGAGTTTTTCAAATTTTTGAAAAATCCCAAAATTCATCTTCAAGTAAAAACTGACTACCAAAATTGATTTCCAAAAAAAGAAAAAAAATTATTATGTCCAAATAAGCTCTTAATTAGGATATGAGAACAGTATTCTAGATTTTATCTTGAAGAAAAATATAAATAAACAATCTTAATGGTGCATTTTCCAAGACGAAAAAAAAAAAATCAAGGTTATAGCAAAAGTACTTGCCCTAGTTTTAAATAGCATTAGTTATAGTCTTGAGTAGAGATGCTTTTGTTCTGTCTGTGAGTGTTTCATTATTATGATTTATGTGCGGAAAGGTCACTTATGTTTGCAGTGTTTGCAGAGACTCTGCAATATATGCAGTCTCTTCTTGAAAATTGTTTCTTACGTGTTATTATGGTTTTTACTGAAAGTAAAACTGGAGTGTAGTCCGTAATTTTACCCACATTCGATACTGTAAGATATTGTACTTTGATAAAGCAAACTGAAATTTCACTGAGTTTCTATTAACAAACGAAATAGGATTCTTGTACAATCAATGGCTGTGATTGAATGGTCCTACATCTTGAGGGCTCGAATTAATATTGAGACTAAATTTAAAAATAGTTTATCCCATATTTAGTTGAAAGAAAATTATAATATAATTATTTCCGGGATTAACTATTTCGGAATTGTAGTATTTTTTTATCCCCATAAAAAAATAAAATAATTAATCCCAAAATAACTAATCTCGTAATAATTAATCCAGAGATAACATCTTTCAACCCAAACGATCCCTTAGTAGGCGTTTAGTCATAAGTTATGGAAAAAATCCTCTTTTAACAAATATAGCTTAAAACCTCTTTTTGGGACTTTTATATGCAAAAAAATAAAAAAAAATAAAAAAAAAATTAACATGTCAAAACTTGCCCCAAAATTCATGTCCAAACACGTTTTCAATTTCACATCAAATTTTACCTAAATCAACTTTTTCAAAAATATATTTAGAAATCTATGTCCAAACGGGTCCTTAATTAGAGGTTTCAAATCGGATGTTTGAGAATTAAAAACAAATTAGGGTGTGTTTACTATAACGGAAAATATTTTCTGTGAAAAATGTATTCTTGGAAAACAAGAAATAATCTTATTTATTTTCTGGTGTTTGGTACGTAAATTAAAGAAAATAACTTCTCAAGAGTATTCATAAATAATTTAGATACAATAAACATGAAGTCATAAACTTTCGAACCAACAACCTTTCGAACACACAAATTTCATAAACTTTCGAACCGCTAAACTTTCGAAACCGCAAAATTTCGAACCCGTAAACTTTATAACTTCTAAATCCGTAAACTTCCAAACACATAAACCTCCGAACTCATAATTTTGGAACTTGTAAACCAAAAGATAAAAAAACTAAAATTGAAAATATATCAAAAAAAATATTTTTTTCCCCGTAGGGGGAGGGGGGTGCAGAAAAATAAAAAAACAAAAATTTAAAATTACAAAAAAAAATATTTTTTGTGTGGGGTGAAGGGCAGTGGGGTGGGTTTGGGTGGTGGATGGTGACGGAAAAAAAAACTGAATTTTGTATAAAAAAAAAAAAGAAGCCTTTTTGGAGAGAAGGGGTGGAGTTAGGTGGGTGAGTGTGAGGGTGTGGGGTGGGTGGGTGAGGGTGGGGAAGGTTGAGAAGGGGTTTTGGAAAATATTTTTCCATTCTCTTGATAAGGAAAATATTTTCCTCCAATTGGAGGAAAATAAGTTTATAAGAAAAATATTTTGCAAAATATTTAAGTCAACCAAACATGAGAAAATTAAAAATTGATACCAAACACACCCTTATTAGAAACTCATCTAATGGACCTTACACAATACAACAATAATATACTCAATACAGTCTCATAAGTGGGATATGAGAAAGATAGTGAGTAAGTATACCTTACTCTTATTTTGAAAAGGCGAAAAAAAAGAAGTAATATTAGAAATCTAAAAAATGGACCTTACACTATATAGCCGATATCAAATACTCGGTGAAAAACTAAAAACACTAAAATCCCTATGTACTATACAGTAAAAGAATATACGGTAGGTTAATATATTAGATGCTGGATGCAAGTAATGCTTGTCTTTTTCTGTGCCGATAAAACAAATGTGTATCACCTTACTCTTCCTTTTCTCTTTTCCTGTCTTTTTCAAGTATATTACCTTATGGGAAGATCTATTAGTTTACTCTATGTAAAATGTATTCCCTAATATTTAATATTTTTGATTCTTGGATATAACTCTTTTGATGTTTTCTATGTAATATAAACACTCGGCTAACTTTTAGTGCAATTATAAGTATTCAATGTGACGAGAATTCAGTAAGTTCACTAATTTTACACTGATAATTAATTTACCATATTTTTTTAAATCAATGTTATGACAAAAAAATTGAGTTTACATGGAAATAGAATTTAGATTAAATGAGACTGTAATGCCTTCACTGGCAATTGAATCTGCCCAATTTCATTTTTTTTTATTTAACCATTCAATATTCGTTATTTGATACTCACTTATCTGATTAGATTCGTGTCGTATAGAGACAATTAAAGAGTGGCGTTTTTCCTATCAGGAAATTCTTCAGTTTAAAGTTCGAACTCGAAAATTCTAATTAAAGTTGAAGAGGTCTTATTCATTCCACCACATTCCTACGTGATACTGGCTTTTTGGAGTTTGCAAAGTTTAAGCGAGTTCATT